ACAAGCACATGACATGTCTGCTCATGTAAGTTCCTGAGTTTCCATTGATATTTCTGAATCAATCCTAACATGTGACCAGGATTTGGTAAAAGAAATTTCCATGAATCTTTGACTATAGACACACTAACAGGGTCTGTCATAATATACACATGCTGTATTATTTTCTCGAAGTGTCTGCAATTAGCTGATAACTCTGAGGAGTGTATTAAAGGCCAAAAAATGTCAGCCAAGTGCTGTGATTCAATCACGTAAAAACACAGCTTTCCCAACCTTAATTTAAAACATCTGGAAGGGACCATAACAGTCAGCAGAGTAAAATTCATCAGTGGGGATGGGTAGGGTTTGTCCAGGACCCTAGTTCCTGCTAGCTTGAACTCTCTGGCTTCAAAAGGTAGGAAAATCTTAATGGTACCGGTGGGTCTTGGGGGTGGGGTGGCCCCTTGATTACAAGCAGCCCAGACTATATTGTCATCAGTCTGCCTGAACTGAAGCCAACTGCAGCTCAGTTCAGAGACTGGGGACTCTGAAGGTGAGCAGCCAGAGGGCTCCCCTCCTGCACAGGCAGTGGTAGCCATGAAGGATGTATGGATATATGGTTAGGTCAAAACTCCCCAAAATGGCAGTGTCGCTAACTATGACCATCTGGGTTCAGCTCAGGCTGGACACAGGGGGATTGTTGGAGGATAGATAGAAGTTCACATGCAGCATTCTTCAGAAACCAGTCAAATGGTTTGTGCCAAGAAGACCCACTTCCTTTATCCCTTCTGACCTGGACAAATGGGGCATCTGGGCCCCTATTTACAAGTACCCATTATGCATACCAAAGGCGCCTAGCTAGCTTCCTGGCTCTTCTTTCCTCCCCCACTCCTCCACTATGCTAGCTCCCAGGCTGTTGCAGTTTATGGGCTTCCCAAATGCTTTCCTTTATAACCTGCAAGGCTTTTCCCTGATTTGTTTTTTTCTCTGTTCCTGGGAGACAGGCACGGCAGCTATAGGCTCCTCTAGATGCTCCTGGCTACTCTCTCTCTACCGCCAGGCCGATAGCCATGCAGCTATCATATTTACAATAAACCTTTCTTTCTTTCTCCCATGGAGCCGTCCAGTTCGGTGGATCTGCAGCAGGGTAACTTCCCATTGGCTAGCTGAATCTGTCCAGTTCTCTAACACCAAAACTTAGCAATTTTCCTTAAGCTGTTTGCCTGGCTACTCTCCAGAAACAGTAGAATCCCTGCCAGCGAGTCCGGGTGACCGGAGCATGAAGAAATCTGTGTCTACCCACAATTCAGATCAGCTGCTCTCCTTCAAGGACTATCACACTTTATAAGTACGCTGGTTTCTAACGGGCCGCTGCCCTTCCGACTGTATGCTCTACATGAGTGAAGACTGGATCTGTTCTTACCCACCACTGTATTCACAAAGACTAACCTGACACACAGTAGGGACTAAGTATTTATTAGACTGAAAAAGTGAATTCAAGAAACACTCTCTGTGTGCCCTGAATACAGCACCCTAGTCCTGTGCTCTGCTTTCTTTATCTGTATAATTCCTGGGCCTTCTGAATACAAGGCCATTGTCTACACCATGGCTTACTAAGCACCTCCCAGTCTGGGACTGCCTTCCCAGGAGGACTGCTTTGCCATCTCCATCTCTTTAATGGATAATCTTCAAATCATAATGTTGTAGGTGGTTCAATCTAGGGTAGCTTGCTTTTGAAAGACCTTGCCGTCTTTGCTTGGGAAAACCCACAGAGGTCTATGTTTAGAGGGTGGGACTCCGGCTTCCCTAGAAGGGCCATACAATGTCACAGCTGATGGCAGAAGGCATGTTGGATAAGCCTGGGACCCTTTGCTTTTAGAAAGATCCCGACAGCCTGGGCCATGCAACTGGTTCACTCATGTTTTCTAGATCATCCTGTGAGCTCAGACGATTCAATCTGTAATTTACAGTTAAATAGTAACAAAGTCAGACACTATTCCTTGCCAAATTCCGCCTCACACTTTAAACCAATGGCCACACATCTGTTAACAACAGAAAGGGGACGGGCGGTGGTGGCACACG